TCATTCTTCTGTTCTGACACACACACACTAATACAGGGTGCCAAAGATGGTTTTCCTCAGAAACAACAGTGCAGAAAAACAAAGGACCCGACACTATGCTACTAAAGCTTGCAGTAAGCTTGTTTAAGAGTCATTAAAATCCTTCCTTCGAACACATTTGTGCATTCCGCATGCACACTAACATCATGTCTAACTTTGCTGTAACAATAATTGCTCTATGCTGTGGAAAGATGTTAGATTAACCAGAACCATGTTAGAGTAACTATTATATGATCAAAAATGAGTAACAAGCTTCATTAAATATAAACCTAAGTTTATATTGAAATAAATATAGCAGTGCTTTGCTGCTGAGGTCAAACCTTATAATTGAAACTGACCCTCCCAATTACAACTCAGACACCTGTGAATCTTTCATTTATACTATCGCGAGGAAAGGAACTAACAGTTGTTGTTGTCTTCAGATGGGGCTTTAAATCGCATAGAAAATTTTTCTGCTCAAGCACAAACTGTGGTCAGACTTACAAGTTATACTTGTAAGAACTGGTTATAAAGAGGTACAGGATACCGAGACATAGCAGCTGATGCAGAAGCAGGAATGCTACTGCTGTCCTTAGAGACAGAGTACATCGACCAGACAGCCACGACAGCATTTTAAGGGCATGTGCTTGCTTCCTGTACAACTTGCTACTTTTCAGAATATGGGAGAAGGTGATGAAAAAAAAGGAAGACTTCTGCTACCAGCTTCAACAACAAAAGAGCCTGGCCATAAAATTAGTTTCCTGAGTGAGGAACATGTTGTTACTGCTGTTATTAATATTTGCTGTTATTAATATGAATAGCTGTCAGAAGCCCAGCCTTTATGACTGCTTCCTACTTCAGGGACCACTGACTATTATTTGATGTGTTGGCTATAATTTGAGTTACTGCTTTTCAGTAAACGTTACAGCTTTCAAATTCCATTAGCACTCAAGTCTGAATTACATTTCTCTCAAAACAAAACAAAAATGAGCAGAAACATGTTATGTGGCTTTGCCACATATTCAGTTCAGCAATCCAGCCTATTCAAGAGCAGCACTTCCTCATCGAGTCCTGCTTAACATGTATAAGGCATGGAACACCTAAAGGTTCTGTATTCATCCTTACTTTCCAGTCAACTCTGCATTACAGGAAGTGGAGAAAAAGTGATAGAAACTCTTCCAATAATTCAACAGGAAAATACCCAACAGTCATGTACCAGCATATAACTACTACATACTTCTGAGAAAAACTTGTAGCTGTCCTCCATGTTACACCCAATAACAAGCCTATTTGTGGAAACAGCTCTAAGCTGAAGATGTCCTGTATCATCAGCTTTCTAATGACCCCTTATACAGCTACGGCACATTTCTGCTTCTCCTTTGATGTCGATGAAGAAGAAATCACATAGCAAAATAAAATGCTTCTAGCATCGGGAAATGCATCTTTTTCCCTTGAGGGTTGCACAGCTCTCTTACTAACTGAACACCCGGTTGTGTGCCCATAGCCATTATGGAAAGAAAAATGGTGCTGAGTAACAGGAACCTAGAGTACAATTTTATAAAGAAAGCAGGACTTAATCTGAAACTGAAAATTTCCTGAATAGTTTCTATGGTTGGCAAGTAATTCAGTGCTATCCAATGATGAAGAACTTGTATTTTGAAGTCATTAGGCTCACCAGTGACAAAAACACAATGCGTCCTTGGGTAGCTGCTGGTGAACAGTAATCACAGACCAGCACATCTTCAGGAAATTGTTGTATGGAGACAACCATCACATGTCCTTCTTTCAAAGTCATGAAATCATATTTCAAAGCAGATATTTTGTGTTAGAATCATGACGGATTTATTAAGATTTGGGAAAAAGAAACAAACTCCAAGCTTGTGAATACGTAACATGCATAATAAAAGTATTTGAGGAAGCAACTGTGAGCCATTAACACAAATAAACAATCACCTGCTGGCATGGACAGTTTTTCCTTATAGTCATGAAAACCTTGCTAAGAACTGAATGCAAAAATAGAGCTAATATGGGTGACTTTGACAGAAAATGAAATGAAATGTCTTGTATAATGAGCCACCAACACCCAGACCATCCCAATGAAAGACACAGGTAACCTTAGCTCCAGAGCCAGTGTAATAGAAGGTGTAAAAGGAGTAGTGAAATGCATATCAACAACACAACTTGAAATACCAGTTACAATGGTAGTAAGGTCACTATTTCTGCTTCCTTAGAAACTTATTCTTTATATAAGCAGTTGTTGACAAGTCACAATGAATAATGCAAATGCAGGAGACTGGTACTCAGATTGTATTTGAAAAATGCTAGATGTACTGAAGTGAACACTTAGCTGTCTACAAAAGCGTTGTGTAAAAGGCATGTGCCCAATTTCATGTTGCTGTCTTACTTATTCCTATGAACAGAACACCTCTCAAGGAAGTCACAGTTATTTCTTTAGCTCTAACAGGATTAAATGAAACCGTCAGTACTGATTTGATATAAAGTATCAGTACATTTTAACCAGCATGATCTGACCAATGAAGCGTGACTGCATTAGTGGAAAGGACTACAGTGCAAATAGTTCTGTGTCTATGACCATTTATACACAGGCCAGCTCCTGTAACATACAAAGCCCTGCTCTAGAACAGACAGCTAACTCTTTAGACACCACAGAAAGACAAGGGTGACTCATTCAGGGAACTGCTTTCTAGACCATTTGAAAGATTACTCAGAGACCATCTAGAAGAGATCCCCATTTCAAACCAGAACTCGAAGCGATCATCAGAGTCCTTTCATCAGTTTAATAGTAACATCAGGTTTTTAATAATTACCATGCTTTAAATGAATGCTCTCTAATATAGTAATAGACTGGCATCACTTTGGCATATTGGGAAGGTGAAATCTGGTACGCTAAGAGATGTAAAAGATCATAAATAGTAGAACTGTGAGCCCACTTAGTACTGGCCTTGGAAGCTTCAGCCTCTGGATAGGGATGAACCATGACTTACCTCTCTTAATGCTAAATCACAGGATGGCTCATTACTTTTTTAAGTATCTATTATGTACAGAATCCTAAGGTTAACTAAGTAAAATTAAACTTGTTTCCTCTGAAAAGTTCCCTACTCCATTTATCGTTTGAAGATTGTATCTACTGTTAGAGCACCAAACATAAGAAATCTATATGGACAATGTGAATTTTGGATATTCTTTTGGGAAAAAACAAATGACAGCATAAACCACATCAGAGCTAAATAATAATCTTGTTGGTTTAGGAAGGCAAGGACAATAATAAAAATCCTTAAACAGTTTCCATAACTGGAACTTAGCATTCCTTTTCTGCTGGATAAAATAGGAATGACTTAATTTCTAGATGGAAGAAGTTATTTTATGAAAAAACAGCAATACAGGGAAAAAAACGCAATACTCAAGGACCATTATCTCCGAGCTAGAATCATCCAGACTGATGAATTTCAATGTGCCTCAAAAATAAACACAGAAAACTCTATGCAACTATAGCAATTAAGGAAAAATCTATTTATGGAAAAGTCTGATTTAGAAAAAAACATCAGTGGGAGGAAGAAAGAATTTAACCAATAACCAGGGATTCCCTTTATCATGCATTAAAATGTGTTACTCTTAAGGTGTTATGCTGCAGTGGAAACACCACAAGAAGGAACTGCAATCTGCTGCCATCTGACACAGTTGCACATGTTAGGAATACATCACCTTAATAATGTTTGTCTTACAATCATGATACAGGCTCCTTCCAATCTTCAAAGTGAAAGGAGCGTGTAATGTATTTATGGCTTAAACTGCCTCATGGGTTTGTTTAGGAAGGCAACTGAAGTTGTTCTATGCTTAGAAAGTGGGCTTGATGAGTATAAAAAACTACCTCTACTATGGAGAGTGAAAGAAAACAGTTACTCTTCAGGGGTTTTCTTTATATGAATTAGTGCATGCAGAAATGTTAATAAATTGCACAAATTCATCCTTAAACACTGCGTAACACATATTTACAGTTAACATCCATGTACAATTAAGAAAACTTTAGCTTTGTGTAACAAAACAGGAATATTATTTATCTGCCCATGTACTTAGAAGACAACTGATTAAATTCAGGAGGATCCTAGCAGATTTTATCATTTATAAATATGTTTATGCAACCAGCTCTGTATTTCATAAAAACGAGGAGGTGGGGCCACCAAAATGGAATTCTGTATAATAGTTGGAGTAAACTAGCAAGTATTTTAAGCTTGTTCCGGTCGCCTGAGAAATCATTAGGAATTCTGAAGTTTTATGATCATTTTAAAAATGTATTTTTTTAAGAATTAATTCCATAAGGAAGCTCTAGCCAAAAGCTGGTAATCCACATAAAGAGCTCCTTGATGGGTGCAGAGGACGTAGTACTTAGAAATGCAACTATCGTAATGGTAACTATAAATATTGCTGAAACTTCTGGGGAAGTAAAAACCAGTCATCATTGCATTGATTTTTTTGAGTCTGCCACTGCACAGTATCTCACTACTCCAGAAAGTACTCAGTGAAATTGATTCCAAAGAAGTCAAAGACGAATATAAATTCTAACCAAATATACTTAGTGTAACTGAAGCTGGTAGTATTGCAATGTAATATAGACACTCAACCTACACTCAACCTTTATGAGAAACAGAGGCTAAGAAACCTAGTGATTAACAAAAGATTATACTCAAAATATCTAGGTACCTACATACCTATTTGGTATATATCTAAATGCTTAAGATATATCACAAATAAATATTTATGTTCAATAATTTTAACTGCAGATTTTAAAACCAACAGTTTGAAGTCAGCTTCACTACCATAAGCAAAAGCATCATAATTCTTATACACAAAAAACACAGCATGCAAATAATACTATTTATATACTTTCTGTATGAGTGAGAAGATTAAATTCAGTGTAAAGCTAAGATGTCAACATCTCTATAGCACAAAACAGTCACACTAACCTGTATTTTGATTGGCCAGGAGAAATTGCTGACATAGACATAGAAAGTGATGTTTGGGTTGCTCCTGAAGTTGAATTTTTCACAGGAAAAGCTATCTCTGTATTCCTTAATATTAGCTTTAGAAACAACAGGAATCTCTTCTCCAGATATTGTTCCAGCTAAAAATAAAAAGAAACACATATGTAGATGTATTTATATTTGTTACAAATATTAATCAACATTAAAGGTGTCAAAGTAAATTTGCACAAGCAACTTAATTTCTTTAATTACTGTTGGTGCCTTCATTACATGGCACATTAGGTATATTTCATACACATATAGAGAATTCATAGAAACTCTTACTCTGGTTTCCAAAGATTATGGATTAATTACAACATTGATAGAAGTGACATGAATTTTAGAAGAAAGTTGTTATGGTCAGCTAAACTCTAGTAATTTACATTCCATTTCAATAAAAACTCATAGGTTAATAAAACTTGAAAGTGAATTTAGCTACATCTTACATTGTTCCTGTAGGGTTGCAATTGTTCATGAAAGCTTTAATAAGATACCTTCTAATCAACATATATAATTTTTTGCAAATACATGGATGACTATGCTAAGTTAAAGGAATAAACAGAATTTACTAACTACAGTTTGTTAAAATACTTTAGAATGACACCGATGAAGAAATTCATGAGTTTATGTAAGACAAACTCTGAATTTTTTTTTGTTGTTTTTTTTTATTTTAATACAGTTTCACTTTAAGCAGCATGCTTCTCTCCTTGGCTGTGTTTTCAGAAAGTCAATAGAACCAATTCAGAGAAACTGTCTAAATGGAGCTTTTCTTCCTTCTTAAAACAAAGAAGAGTAATGGGGTTCAAAGTTGGAGAAAAATAGATAAGCAGCTCCTTTTATCAGCATACACAGAAGAACTTTATTGTTTGATATCAATGTTAAGGTTAATAATTAAATTTTTAGCTTGAATACTGAAACAAAGAAATAAAATCTCAGTCTCTGCAGCAGTTAAGGAAGTAATTTATCTTAATTAAAATCACAGCATTTCATAACACTGTCATTTTAAAAATTTAAATAGACTACAAGCTTTTCCTACCAAAGTAATTTTAATTGAATAGGAAAGTTAACATGTTAATGAAGCTTTGTTCAGGTTGCAAATTATCATCTGAGGTTTAAATAATATAATTAATAATTGCATACTGATAATGGCAAAAGAACACATTTGGTAAAGTTTTATTATCAAAATTAGCAACAAAGAGACAATCAGGTTAAAATAGTTTAAAGGATCATGAAACCATATGGGGAAAAGTCGTAAGACAGAAGTTCACCCTCACCTGTAGAACCAATAGACCATGTAATATTGAGGTTGAAGTTGTTTGATGCATTAATTGATATATCCAAATTTTTATTTGACTAGATAAAAAAAGAAAATATATTGAAGTTAACAAAATATATCAGAATGTATTAAATATAACTATTGAACATGACTGAAACCAGCCTTTTAATCACCTTCCATTTTCCATTTTATACATAAATAATAGTGGTAATAATTCAGAGCCAAAGGCGATCCTTTCTTTTGCTTCAGTAAGAATAGGGTTCAAATAAGCATATAACTACACCAGCTACCTTTTCAGACTGTGATAAAAATAATGAAACCATTCTCTTTATAAAACTAAAGAAAAATAATCATGGCAAATGGCTACATTTTAATCACAGTCCAAAAACTTACCTTTCTCATCTGCTAATGAAGATTTCTTAACTGAAGGGTATATTCCTTTAATTCATCTCAGAAAGATACTGAAACTTGTTATCCATGGGAACAATAAAATAAACCAGCTGATAATTTTTTGCAGTATTAGTTGTTCTGAACTACATTTAGAAAGTTTTCTACCATTTAGAAAGTTTTATCAGTGAATTGCACTGGAATAATTTTCAGTTCTCAAAAAAGATTTGAACTATCTCTAATACCTTATGGGCACTTGGGAAACTTTTCATCATGGTCAAATATAATGGAAATCTTAATCATGACTCTCCAAAACTCGTCTAAAGGTAATAACATTTTCTTACCTGTTCTGGATTTGCTATAAAGTTTATGGCAGTGTGATGGCGATCATCCTCTTGTAATAAGCTGAAGGTAAACTGGTAATCAATCAAAAGGCTGTCTGTGGGAAAAACAGGAATTAAAGATAATAAAAGAGATTCAAGTATAAGCATATTAATAATGTTATGCAAGCATAAAAAAATTTACCATTCATGTGGACTTTAAAAGGCATGGAGTAACCTACACATCAGAATTACCCACATGCATTTCACTGCTTTAGTATTTGAATTATAATGTCTTGAAGCAATAAAGTGAAGCGGCAACAAAAATAACAGTATTAAGAAAAATAACTACATTAAGAAGCAGATTCTATCATGGAGGCATAGCAACCACTACACATAACGAAACAGTCATTCCTTGAAAAGTAATTATTCCAAAATACACTATCAAGTATTGCTAGTTTTGAGAGTTATCAGTTCCCTAATTTTACTGTGAAATAATTATTTGAATATTCTATTCAAAATGCATTTAAATATTTTAGTTTTACAGTCAGATGCTTTACTATGCTACAGAAATACACCTACGCACCTACACCAATATAACACATTTTAGAATAACCAGTTTTAAAACTTGCATCTACAGTAAAATTATAGAGCATGAAGGCATGATACTAAGGTAAATAGGACTGGTAATAGTAAAACGATACAATGGAATTTTGAATAGAAATTATATAACCACAAAGCACATCCTTTCTAAATTGACAGAATTCTAAGAGAATTTGTAAGTGGCAAGTGGTATCAACTTTTCACGCAAGAGAAACAAGTGGTAGTTTAGTACTGACTCAGACAGATTATATTTCAGCTCAAAATGGCATTTTTTTCTGTCCATTTTTCTTTGAACCTATGAAAGGACTGGAGTCTGCCAGCAGTTACTATTCATGCCATTCCTGTCACTGAACACGAACAGCACTCCCCTGATGGCCAGCTGAAGTTGGCATAGGTGCAGAAGGGAGATGACCCAAACCATGTTTAACCCTTCCTGGAAGGAGTATAAAATGATTTGGACCAGTCAGAAGACATAAGTTTTGAGTATCCCATAGTTCCTCAAATTGGAGAAATGAGATTAACCCTTATCTGGGTCACCAGTAATGACTGAAAGGGAATTTATCTGGAGTGCCAAGAGTTATAATTGGACATTTCAGGGTGAAACAGGTTTCCAGCACTTCCATAATGTAAGAAATAGACACAGGATAGCTGTTGCTGCGATTCATCAGCACTCCATGTAGAATCCCAGCAGGCAGGTAGTAAAGAATCAGAAGAGCCCTCAGAAATGTAAACTGTGTTAGCAGATTAATAATCCTTCTACAACAGACAGTTGTGAACCAGAGCTGGGTGCAGTGGATGGATCTTGAATGCTCTGTTACAGGGGCAAATATCTTCAGATCTAGCACAATAAATCTAAGTCTTTGACCAGTATGGTTCTACAGGGATCAAAAGATTCTGGTTTTGCCTTTGTCACAGGAAATAAGGAGGTGACTTGTAAGTGTACCTGGTTCAGATTATTATTTTGTGCATGTTCAAGTATGGTCAGATGCAAGTTATCTTTGATGCGACACCCTAGTGAGCAATTTTGGAGGCCTATTTTGATCCATGTCTTGATGGCATTCTGCTAGTTACCAACAGCACACGGTGTGTTACAAATAAAAAATGTGATCATAAAAAGAAAATCAGTAAATACAAAGAGTGAAAGATTAACTCAAAGCAGGAAAAAGCTTTGTCAGCTTTTTGTTGGACTCAGTAGCTTGCTTACTGCTGACAATCACCTTTGTCTGCAGGAACACATCATCTGAAAAATACATCTTATTGTATCCCTCGAGAAGCCTGACATAGAAGGAGAAAAAAAGCTTACTGGTCAATGAAGCATGAATATAGCCCACTGTATTGTCTTAATAGTTAAACAAAATGTAGGGGTAGGGTTTGTTTTTTTTGTTTGGTTTTTACACTGTGTGGAAAGAAAATTAAAAGATAAAGGAGTTACGTGAAAGGAATTACCATGACCTTTGAAGCTGACAAGTCCACTTTCTCTATCACTAGACACCAGTTCCACTATTCAAACAAGAGTAAATTGATCTAGAAGTCTTAGGTAACAAGTTTTGATCATGTTTTTGCATGCTCTGAAGGCAGAAGATAAATAAATATTAAAGAACCCATTTATTAATAATATTGTACAGTTCGATAACTAAGCAAATCCTATTAATAAAGTCTCGTTGAATCTGTTAGTAACATTGTACTCTATCTACATATTTAACAGTAAGATTAATCATCACACCAGAACATATTTAAAGGCAGCAGGTCAGCAAAAGATGGAAAGTAGTGATTGACCCCTTATTAAAGGGATAAATAAACCCTTTAGTAGTCATGAGTAGCAAGGCCAAAAGGCTAGGAATAATGTATAGATGTGCTAAATCTGATCTGGTCAACTTATGACCCCATGAAATACAAAGGCCTACTTTAGCATGAACCACTGTGAATGTATGGTGGGCAAGTAGCACAGCATTGCACTACTATGGAATCGCTGGCTACTGCTAAGCTACAAATGCAAGAAGCACCGTAGACAGGCATTCTGGACAAGATACTGCTAATTTGCCCACAAAATATGGAAAACGGCCATTTGAAAACACCACAGTCATCATCTAAGCCCAAACTGTGCCCTCTCAGAGAAGACCAGGGATATACAGTAAAGATCTCATCATTGGGCAAAACGGGGAGTAGACACAGGACTCCTGTCTCCCAGTTATATGAACAGCTTTTCTGCACGTAAGTTTAAAAAAGATATCAAAGTCATTTACTCTTAAAACAGTGTGACTACTTTTTCCTGGGGTTTCCTGTTATATTTAATTGTTGTTTGGTTTTTGTCATTTTGTCTAAAATTTATGTGTTGCTTGCTAAAGCCAAGAAAATAGAAACTAAGTTTTCAAAGTATTCAGGAAAAGTCATTATTACATTGATGAAACATGTTACACTATTATAGTTCCTCATAGTTTTACCATCTGTAACAAATCAGAAAAATATTTTCACTTTTTTAACTGCATTTTTACTTACAATACAGTTGCAATTGTCAATCATGAAAAAAAGCAAGCATACATACAGCACCTTTTATACTCAAGATATCCCAAAGTACTTTATGATGTTATTAATGAATTAGCAGTTAATTAATTAGTTACTCCATTAATAGTATCAAAGATAGTTGTATATTACACACTGTAGACATTATCTCTTCTGCAGTACTTAAATGGCCTTGGATACCACAGCTTGCATTATTAAAGAAGGGTTCTGAAAGCCAACTCATGGAACTCGCCTTGAGATTCTTCAAAGGTGCCAAAGGACCTTTAACTTATGCCAAGCCATTCCTACAAACTGGAGAGAGCAGATCTTCACTAAACTATTCAGGAGGAGGACATTTCTCAGCAATAATAACCACAATTTATGAAGGTTTTATTCAACCTGCAGCAGAGAGGGACAAACCATTAAATCTCTACCTCAGCCACAGATTGGATGCTGCAAAGCAGAAATATGTATCTCTTCATAGATGATTCTAATCATAGAATCACAGAATCAACCAGGTTGGAAAAGACCTTTTAGATCATCACGTCCAGCCATTACTCCCGGACTGCCAAGACCACCACTAAACCATGCCACTGAGAGCCTGATCTGTATGGTTTTGAACACTTCTAGGGACAGTGATTCCACTGCTGCCCTGGGCAGCCTCTTCCAGTGCCTGAGCACCCTTTTGCTGAAGGAATGTTTCCTAATATACAATCTAAACCCCCCAGTACAGTTTGAGGTCATTATCTCTTGTCCTTCTCCTGTCAGGAGAAGAGACTGTTCCTCTACCTCACTACAACCTCCTTTCAGGCAGTTGTAGAGAACGTTAAGGTCCCTCTGAGCCTTCTCTTCCCCAAACCAAACATCCCCGGTTCTCTCATCTGCTCCTCATCAGACTTGTGTTCCAGACCCTTCACTAGCTTTATTGTCCTTCTCTGCCCTGCTCCAGCACCAAAATGTCTCTCTTTTAGTGAGGGGCCCAGAAATGAACGCAGGATTGGAGGTGCAGCCTCACCAGTGCCAAGTACAGAGGAATGATCACTGCCCTGGCCCTGCTGGTCACACTACTTCTGATACAGGCCAGGATGCCGTTGGTCTTCTTGGCTACCTGGGCACAAGCTGGCTCATGTTCAGCTTTGTCAATCAGCACCCCAGGTCCTTTTCTGCTGAGCAGCTTTCCAGCCACTCTTTCCCAGACTGGCACTTTGCAGGGGGTTGTTGTGGTCCAAGTACAGGACCCGGAACTTTGCCTTGTAGAACCTCATACCACTGGCCACAGCCCATCGATCCACCCTGTCCAGATCCCTCTGCAGGGCTTTCCTATCCTTCACAGATAAACGCTCCCACCCAACTTGGTGTCACCAGCAAGTCTACTGAGGGCGCACTCAATCCCCTCATTCAGATCATCACTGAAGAAATTAAACAACACTGGGCCTAACACCAAGCCCTCAGGGACACCACTAGCGACCAGTCACCAACCAGACGTGATACCATTTACCACCACTCTTTGGGCTCGGCCATCCAGCCAGTTTCCAACCCAGCAAAGAAGCTGCATATGCATGCCATGAGCAGCCAGTTTCTCCAGGAAGAGACTGTGTTGTGGGAGACTGTGTCAAAGGCTTTACTTAAGTTCACATAGAAAATGTTCACAGCCTTTCTCTCATCAATCAGGCAGGTCATCTTATCACAGAAGGAGGTCAGGTTGGTCAAGCAGGACCTGATCTTCATGAACCCATGCTGACTGGGTCTGATCTCCCCATTAATTCGAGGAAGATGACTAAAGTGAATACTACTTGAATGAAGCAGAGAGCACTGCCTAACATAGTTATGTGATTCAACAGTGCAAATTAAGTTGGGTGCAAATGAAGGAGCTGGCATTGAGCAAACATTTCCTTCCCATCTTTCAAATGACTGCAGAAGTATGCTGAAGAAGTTTCCCAGCTTGGAGGAAGGTTCACTTTCATACTCAGTTTACTTTCTGGTTGGCCAAAACTTCAAGAAAGATTCGCCTGGACCT